CCTCCTTCTCTTCCACCTTCCGGGACTCCTTGGAAGCCGATATCTCCGACACTGGCGTGTTGGCGTCTATCTCTTCTCTTAAAACTAACAAATCCCCAGGCCCAGACAGCTTCTCCAACCTTTACTATAAAAAATTCAAAGACATCTTGACCTCTCACCTTACATGCCTTTTCAGTACTATGAAATCAGATTCTTTCCTTAACCCCTCCTCTCTTTCCACAGACATCTCTATAATCCCAAAACCTGGTAAAGATGACATGAATGTTGCTAGCTATCGCCCAATATCCTTATTAAATACAGATATTAAACTTTTGGGGAAAAATCTAGCGGTCAGGGTTAACAGAATCTTGAGCTCTCTTGTACACAGGGACCAGGTTGGATTTATGTCCTCTAGACAGGCTGGGAACAGTGTACGGAAGGTGGTTCACTTGATACATCTAATGCGACAGATCATTTTCAGGTTTTCAGTTATCGTTAGATATCCATAAAGCGTTTGATACGTTATCCTGGGACTACATGCACTATGCCCTGACTAGGTGGAACTTTGGGCCCTCCTTCCATGCTTGGGTCTCCGCACTGTACCATAATCCCCCTGCAAGAGTCATGTATATGGGGCATCTCTCTGACCCATTCCCTGTCACACGAGGCACAAGACAAGGTTGCCCTCTCTCCCCCCATTCTATTTATATTGGCCATTGAACCTCTTGTCATGTTGATTCTAGCTCACCCTTTTAATCAGGGGGGTTGAAATTGCACCTTGCTTGCCGATATTCTCATATCCCTTACTCACCCTGTCATTTCTCTGCCTTCCCTTTTCTCCGTTTTGGAGGTCTTATTGTCAACAGTTCCAAGTCCCTCGCTTTAAATATCTCCCTTTCACCACAAGATGTGGATCTTTTAAAACAATATACAAATAAGACACTGGGTTCACTCTCTGCTCTCACACCATTTCATCTCCAATCCCCTTACCTTTTTTGAAGGCATTTGTCTTAAAACTCATCAATCCCCAAACCTTATCTCATAACTATATTCCCAGTTTAACTCCTTGTCCTCTACTAACATTCATAGCTATTTTAATAACTGGCACCAGCACACTAGATCTTTAGAAGAATGGATGTCTATATGGGACGCGGCTTCCCGCTGCTCCCCGTAATATCTTGACCCAAGAAAGGGCCTATAAGGTATTTTCGAGATGGTACCAAGTTCCCTCCCGACTTCGACCTTCAACCGACCTGCCCTGACACCTGCTTTCGGGGTTGTTCCGATGTAGGTGATGTCATGCATATTTGGTGGACATGCCCCTTCTTGGCCCGTTTCTGATCTAAAATCTATAGGCTCCTTTATTCTATCTTCCACATATGAAGATCAAAAGACCCTGGCAGGCTTTACTGCACGCCAAGATTCCACAACTTACCCGGCCCCAATGGCAATTGGCTAACTATATATTCTTAGCAGCCAAACAGATTATAGCCCACTCGTGGAAAAACAACAGGCCATCCCCTAAACCGAATTCCACCAACGTATGTAGGGATTTTTTGTTAACGAACACCTCTAGTATTCTCACTGACGCCGGCAGTGAGAATACCGGAATTCCATAGAATACGGAATATTCTACGGAAATTCCGTAGAATATGGGACCTGTGGTCCTCCATTTTCTTATCGACCCCCGACCCCGTGGCGCTTAACCTTATCCGATAATCACTCCATATAATGCAGCACCCAGGTCACAGTCACTGTTCTTTCCTTCTTTCTCTCTCCTTTCCAACTTCCTTCTTCTCTGCACTTTCTTCTCTTCTCTCATCCACCTTCTTTCTCCCATTTCCCCCAGTGCTGGCTGGTTCTACCAGAACGCATTTGGTTTTGTCTTCCCTGTAACCCTATTATAACGGTTCTATGGTCAGCCGTATGTCTCCCTCCTCTGACCCCTTCCCCCAGATCCCCACATGATGTTATTTTGTGCCGCCTACCCCCTAAGCGACACCTTGTTCCTTTTATTATTTGTTACTATGTGTGTATTTTATACCTTGAAAATTCAATAAAACATATTGAAATGGAAAATGATGGTCATTAGCACCTGCTTGGTATAATTGGTTAATTATACATCTGACTCTAATCCTACAAAATCCCTGACTGTGTGCAAGTGTAATTGATGCTGATTTAAAGCCAAAGGGTGGTCACACTAAATATTGATTTGATTTAGATGTTTCTTCTGTTTACTCACTTTGCATTTTGTAAATTGATAAAAAAAAACAATAAATATATATATTTTTGAAAGCATTGTTACATTACAGCATTTTTTCACACATTCCTAAAACTTTGGCACAGTACATATTCCTCGAAGTGACCTTTGTCTTCCTGTCTGTGGGATCCCAGAAAGAAAGATGCCTTCACCGGGATAACCGATGCCTTATTAAAGACAAAAAAACGGTGGGTCTACTACCGGCAGGAAAGACCATTTCTTCAAAAAAGGAATCCCCAAAGTGATACTGAACAGCAAAACGCTTAGGCTTATGGGTTCCAAAGTGAACCGGAGTGATCCCAGAGGAGCTGTGAGCATTAATCTTCAGTTTCTCAGGCAGAACAAATGAGCGTGTAAACCAACTCCTGTTCCTGAAGAATAGCGGAAGCTACTGTTCAGACATGTCTGGTGCGGAATCCACTGGACCAGAGGGGTAAAACGTGAAAAGCCTCAATGGAACAATTCGTACCAGGAGCAGGCATGCAAACAGCACACAGCTTGAAGGATTCAGACTGCCACACGAAAGCAATGACTGAGGAACCCCACAGCACAAAGTAAATCTAGACAAGAAAAGAAAATATGTTTTCCAGAGCTACTGGAGCTTAACAGAAAATGAGAGAACCAAATCCTAGAAGTGGTGAAAAACACGGAACCATGCCAGGATAGAAGGTTGATTGCCTCAACAACACATCACCACAATGTAGTACCAGAAAACAATTCAGTACAAAACTGTTAGTGCCTAGCAAAGATGATGGCAGCAAGGAAGACAACCTTGTAAGTAAGGCCCAAAAGGGAATATTCCTGATAGGTTCAAAAAGGAAGCAGTGGAACAGTAGAAAAAAATAGGAAGTTGTACAGAGGGAGCTACAGCTACTGTTCATAAACTGAAATATGGATTGGGAGGCTAGCGATCCTTGGAGTAGGACTGCCAGTGCTGAGTGATACCTCAATGGTACCCATGGTCAAATAGAATTGGCAATATGGACTGTCTTAAAAAGAACTGAAACAGTCTTAAAAGGAGAACTATGGGGTCAGGGCTTTTCCCCATAGTTCTCCTTAGGGTAACGTGAGGACGCAAACTAGCGTCCTCCCGTTACCCTAAGCTCAGTATACAGCGAGCTACAGCTCGCGGTATACTGAGACGGCGCAGCCGGAGCAGATCCCGACATCGATGTCGAGATCCACCCAGCTGCGTGAGTGACAGCTGGCTCTGTCTATCTAGAGGCAGAGCCAGCTGTACCCGCCCCCTCCCCCGTCCGTTCCGCCAGTCAGTGCTGGCGGATCGGAGCGGGGAATCCAGCAGAGAGCCGTGACAGGATCGAGAGGTGAGCGAACGCCGGTATCTGTTCGCTCACCTCCCGATCTACTGAGCCGACCTGTGACAGTCTCATTGTCACAGGTCGGATAGAACTATGAGGCGAGTGGAAATCACTCATCTCCTAGCTCTCCTTTAACTGCTTCCCGGCCGGCCATTGTAATGAAATGTAAGCGAGCGTTTTTAAATGTCCTCGGTCTCGCCGCTAGGCAGGGTGCACAAGCGGGAAAACTGCTTAAATTGTAAACAGCCAGTGATGGCTGTTGGTATGTTCGAAGCACTTAACCACTTCCAGCCGGTTCACGTAAATGTACGTTCTCCGCTGGAAGTGGTTATACGAAGAACACGGCAGCTGCAGCCATGTTCTTGGTACTGTTTTAAAAAGCCGGCGACTGCTGTTTAAATACAAGCGATCCGGCGTCTGTACAGGCGCCGGGTCCTCCCAGCCCCCCTCCGCAGAGGTCGGCTTCCTCAGCTCTCCTGTCCCACATGCGAGTCTGATAGTCTGATAGATCGAAAGAGAGATCAGCGGCTTCCAGCTGCAGATCTCTCCTCCGTTTATTGGACCCAGAAGTGATGTGCATTACATAATTTCCGATGTCACTGGGCACAGTCTCCGACTCCTAGAGCCAGAAGAAGCTGATGAAGCAAATCTCTGCTTCATCAACTTCTTTGGGGTTCCTAGGTGACATTAGGGGTCTGAAAGACCCCTGATGTCTCCATAAAGAGGACCTGTCACATTATATTTGCTATTACATAGGGGGCTTGTAAGCCCCCTATGCAATAGCAATAAAGCTGAGCGTAAAATAAAAAACAAACCTGTAAAAATTAAAGTAACATGGAAAAAAAAATGCAAAAAAATTTAGTTTGAAGTCCCCCGCCCCCCACGTGCACGCACATACAACGCAAACACGCGTCAAATGCGCCTTTGTGCAAGACAAAAATTGTGCCACACGTTACATATCGTCGCGAGCGTCAGAGTGAAAGCAATAATTCTAGGCCCATCAGTGTTAGCACTAAAGTGATAGAGTCGCACAAGCGTTTAAATCGTCGCCTATGGGAAATTTTGGTTATTGTAGTTTTTTGCGGTTTCACGGATGCACGCAATTTTAAGGGCTGACATGTTTGTATGTATTTACCTGGAATGACCCCATCTTTTATATTTTACCAAAAAATTGGGCATTATATTCTGTGCAGTAAAATTTCATTTTAGTGTATTTGATCTTAAAAATACTTGTTTGATAAACATTTGCGCAAATACCGTGCAACATAAAAAATTGCAATTTTTATTTTTTTTATTCTACAGAGCCTCTGCTTTCAGAAAATATATAATTGTTTGGGGGTCTGTAGCTGTTTGCACACCAGAAATTCAGATTTTATCATGTGTGTGCAAATGAAGAAACTGCTCTGGGCAGCAGATGCTCTGAACAAGAGAATTACACAAACCTGCTCAAATTCATCAGTTATTGTCTTGGGTTCCTCGTGCCTCTGAAACCACATCATATATTTGGTGTGAAACCTCCAAGACTGTTTCTTCAATGCTTTAGCAGCTAAATACTGTGCTTTAGTGCCCTGAAAGAAAAGCAAGAAAATAAAACTTTGTTTATATCAAGTCAAAAAAGCATTAGATTTTCTCAAATTTCCTGTTTTGTGGAGCCGTTTCACCAGGCAGAAAGTAAGGGAAAATGTGCAAAAAGTACACAGACAAAAATACAAAATGGGATAGTTCGAGCCACCCCCTGCTCTCCTAAAAAAAATATTTGACTTACCTGTAAAAGTCTGCTCTTGGAGTACAGTATAGGATCAGTCTTAACCATGGGACATCCAAAATTGGTCCAACTGAGGGATGGGTAACTAAACACCAACAGGTCCACATAATGTGTTAAAGAGGGCTTGACAACTCAGAAGGTAGCCTGAAGCCCCTTAGGCCTGAAAATGACATAAGATGAGACCTGAACATCCACCTGGTAAAACTTAGACATGCAAATGAAAACCAAGTGGCAGGCTAGCAAATCTGTGAACACATACCTGATGCCGTTTTCAGCACTAACAGATCTGCTAAAGTGCACCTTGAAAACAAAAGGGAAGAACCCTATCCCTTCAGACTAAGGGCTCGATTGATGACTTGTCTAATCCACCTAGGTATGGTGGAACTAGAGGCGGGAAGCCACCTACAGGAAATTTCTAAAAGGACGAAGAGGGTATCCAACTGACAAAAAGAAGCTGTAGCAGAGAGCTAGACACTGACAGTGTGTACCACAACCACACAGTGGGGATAAATTTCCCAGGAATGCTTCAAAGCAGGACTAAAAGGACAATATCCTGGTTAAGGTGGAAGGAAGAAACCACCTTGGGGGAGAAAGGAGGCCTTCAGACTACCTTATCTCTGTGTAACACTAGATAAGGCTCTCTACAGGATAAGGCCACCAACTTAGAAACTTGCCTCGAGCAGGTGATAGCAACGAGAAAGACCACATTGGAAGTGAAGTCAGATAACGGAAAATCCCTGATGGGCGCAAAGGACAGCCCGAAGGGCTTACAGAACCAGATTCATCCCACACTGTCACCGGGAACGTACAGTGGGAGCAATGTGAATGACACACTGTCTTTATCAATGGCCATCTTTGGAACAACATAGAAGACAGGATCCAACCGAGTATTTCCAGGAATGGAACTTCCTAGCCTCAACCATGCAAGTAAGCCTTCCAGGTGTAAAGGTAAACCTTGTGAAAAGCCAACTTCTTAGGATTCAAGTGAGTGAGGAAGATCAACTTCAATAGGACCATATGCCTCAGGGTCTGGGTTTCAACAGCCAAGCCTAGACAAGCAATCAAGAAGAATGATAGACCGGCCCTTGGGACAGAAGGTCTGGAAGGTCGGGAATAGCCCACAGAAAATTTGTCAGAGTACCACTGGGCCAGTTTAGTGCAATGAGAATCAACAGGATGCCCTCCATCTCAATCCTGCAGAAAAGACGAGGGAGAAGCTTTGAACCAGGATGCTGAGAGGTCCAACGTAGAAGGGGAAACAAAACTGTCCTGCGTTCTAAAATGCTGATTGGAAGCCAAGCTTTCTCTGGCGACCAAATCCTCTGAACCAAGAGAGTATACAGGACTCTTCCTCAGCCTGCTGGCATCTATTGTGAAAACCTTTCACATCATAGGGAGAAATAACCTGTCTGACTCCAGTGTCAGATTGGAAATCCACCAGGTCAGGCAGCAATCCAGATACTAATTCAGTTTGTCCCATGCTGCTGGGGCAAGTACCTTAATGAAGACCTGGGGTACTGCAGACACACCAAAGGGGAGAGCAACAAAGTGTTAATGTTGTGTGCCCACAACAAAATGTAGATAGTGTTGATGGTGGAAAAATGGGGATGTCTAAGCATCCCTGATGACCCCAGAGGCCAGAAGATCCCCGTATTGAAGGGAGGAAATGGCTGACCTGGCAGATTCCATGCAAATCCTTTGAACCCAAAGGAGCATGTTGAGAATCTTCTGATCCAGAACAGTGCAAATGCCTCCTCTTGCATTGGGAACAGTGATTGAATAGAACCCCTGGAAACATTCCTCAATAGGGATGGGACCGGATCAATGACCCCCTAGGAGAGGAGCTGCTATAGAGCAGAGCACAGATCCGTCTCCGTTTGCAGAGAGGAAGGCAAATATGAGAGCGGGGAGGAGCCATAGACTGAAACCCCAGTTTGTAGCCCCTGGATAATATGCCCTGGATGAGACATCAGGAATCTTTTGGGTCCAGATCATGGACGAGTGAGGTGTCTCCGTAATGCAAGGGAGGCTTACTTTAAGACTTGGCAGGCTTCGAAGTACAAGTCTTTAAACACAACTGTGTGCATGATTTAGCTGAAGGCCTACCTGCTGGAGTTTTTCGTCTTTCTTTTCTGGTGAAGAAAGGAATTCTTACCTCTAGTCACTTCCTTAATAAAGGAGTCCAAGGAGTTACCAAAGAGGCATTCTGTTTCAAAGGGAGGAAGGAGGAATCGAGTCCGCGCAGGAGCAATGGCAGCTTCATGCGAAAGATGCATTCAAGTACCTTAACTATTAACAAAAAATGAACTTATTTGTGTATCACTCAGGATTTAACTCTTAAATTTAATGGCACGTTAAAGATGACAGCATTTGTCTACGGCTGCGACACTCCATTTTTGTGTTGCAGCCTGAGTGCTGCTAATAACTCAAGGGGGGACAAGAGCATCAGAAAACTGGGCCAGGGAAGGGCACTAGGCCTGACTCACCAGAGCAGATTCTCCTCATAGATCACAGGATATTAGCGGCAAGCTCCATCCTGGCTTTGTCCTCCTTGGGGGCATACCCCCAATGGTGCCTTTAGGGACAGGGCTCCACCAGCTGATGGACCATGGGCCTGGAACTGTATAGTACCCTGCAGTTAACTTAACGTGCTGCATTATGTGCCAAGGTGAGCGCCTAAGGGGCGGCTCAGGGCACGAAGCAACATTTCAGGTCGGTCCCACATCTTCTTCCAGATGGGGTCCAGCTATATTCTCTCAAGGCTCAGATGAGTAGTCAACTGACTTGGAAAGTTGCAGGAAGGGAGCCATAGTGGCAAAGGAGCAGCTAACTTGCTAGAGGAGTTGAGAAAAAGAGAAAATCCATAAAGCAGATGAGCTTCTTTCAGGAGGCAGATGTCTATCAACTGAGAACACTAGCAAAAAAATAAAAACCACTGCCGCTTGCTGGGGGTGGGAAGGGTTACACTAGGGCTGTTCTTGCATTTTTTTTTGCCAGTGTCCAACTCACTTAAAGTGACGGTAAAACCCATGGTTAAGATTGTGTCCTGTACAGTATGATTAAGAAGGCTTTTCTTCTGTGTTGCTGTTGGGAGAGTTCCCTTCACTACTTCTCTAACACAGGCCTGATAGTAATTATAGCCTGATGGGGTTTTAACCCTTCCCTCCAAATAGACAAAAAATGTTTACCAAAACACATAGCATCACCCCATGCATATTTTAATGCATAGCGGTGCCATTCATTTTGAATGGCACCTCAAGGCACTAAAGTAATCCATCTTGGATACATTGCATACAATGTACAGCAGCACACTGCAAAATATGGTAATACACTACTATGAATTGTAGTGTGCTGTTTCAGGAAAAATATTTCAGCTGCACTAGCAGCCCATTCAAATAAATCAGATGCCGTAGGATAACGCACATTAACACACCAGACCGTACAGTTCTTTATAAGTGACTGGGAACCTCAGGCACTTTTTCTATGAATCTTATTATAGTTATAAAAATGTAGTCTTAATAAAAGGTAAACTCCATGTAAGTGTAAAAACATTTAACCCAGTTATCAGATAGAGATTATATATATATATATATATAT